AACACCGGTGACAAATTGATATCAGGATCGGTGCTCGTCCTCCTGTTGTGTTGATCTCACGCATGAGCGCCGGTGGGGGGGGGGGGGAGACAAAGGCGTTCGGGCGCGGGTGGCACACGCGGTACAAGCCCCCCCCCCCGTCACACCGCAACTCTATAGCCGGCGCTGAACCCCCGCGTTATCGGACCTCCCTCTCATAGGCGAACAGCACTTGCCCCAACAGTCCACCGTTGTTGTTGTTGTTTAAGGGGGGCTATGCGGGGGACCTTTGCCTTTGTGCCGTACGGAACCCTCTGGTCAGCCCTTCTTCTCCCCCCCACCACCCCCACCTATCCCCCCCCCCACCACCACCTCTCTCTCTCTCATCTATTATTCTATTATTTCTGTCGCTAGTCTGGACCCGCCGGTGACTTGGCCGCCGCTGGCTTGGTGACGAACAACCCCATTACGCTAAATAATTTGTGAGCCATTAAGTGTTAATCACGGACAAACAGCGGTTAACCGAGAATCGATTTCCCCCAACATCTTGTACGACCAGCGGTAATGGCCGTTGGGGGCTTGGCTCGAGAGGGGTAGGAGGATGGGGAGGGGGGCAAAGGGGATGAGGGATGAGAGGGATGAGAGGGATGGCGGGTTGGACGCACTGCCCAACACACACCCTCCACCCCCGCCCCGAACCGCCGAAATTCAAGTCACACGGCACCCCGCTCGCCCTCCGCACGCGCGACTCCTGGACCACAGCCACTCAGAGGAGTAACTATTCAAATGTAATGATTATTTACAAAAATAACAGCCCGATGTGGATTTACATGGACCTACATTGAGACTCGCAATAGAGACATTTACACTCACAGAGGCCCATTGAGTTAGACATCTATAGACTCAAACAGAGACCCGTAGACTCACACAGAGACCCGTAGACTAACACGGAGACCTATAGACTCGCACAGAGACCCGTAGACTCACACAGAGACCCGTAGACTCACACAGAGACCCGTAGACTCACACAGAGACCCGTAGACTCACACAGAGACCCGTAGACTAACACAGAGACCTATAGACTCGCACAGAGACCCATAGACTCACACAGAGACCCATAGACTCACACAGAGACCCATAGACTCACACAGAGACCCGTAGACTCACACAGAGACCCGTAGACTCACACAGAGACCCATAGACTCACATTTAGCATTTACATTCATGGAGGCCCATGGACTTAAGAGACCCATACTCACACAGATACCCGTAGACTCACACAGATACCCGTAGACTCACACAGAGACCCGTAGACGCACACAGAGACCCGTAGACTCACACAGAGACCCGTAGACTCACACAGAGACCCATAGACTCACATAGAGCATTTACATTCATGGAGGCCCATGGACTTAAGAGACCCATACTCACACAGATACCCGTAGACTCACACAGAGACCCATAGACTCACACAGAGACCCATAGACTCACACAGAGACCCATAGACTCACACAGAGACCCATAGACTCGCATAAAGAACCACAAAGTCACACATCGACAACCATAGAAATAGATCTCACTGGCGAACTCTCCGTTAAATGTTGCTATTTGCAATGCACAGCGCCCCATGGTGAAGCCGCAGTGTCCTGGCCAATACCACCCAGCAAACCCAGCGGCATTTGTCTCACGAGCCTGACACTGCTGATGAGGCCCAGAACGCGTCAAGCGGTACCAGACTTTTCTCGCTGAAACAAAAGCTGCGAAAGTGTGCGGCGGGGGAGAGGGTCAATGTTCTCAGACGGACTGGGCACTTGGGCACGAGCCGCAGGGACGTGGAACGCCGCGTCACCACCGGGAGGGGAAGGAGGCCGTGCCGGTGGAGGAGGAGGTGGACCGGTGCCGAGCAGACGTAGCCGGGCTGACCTCCACAAACGCAGCGTCGGCACCGGGACAGAAACTTCCCGAGCGGAGGCGATGGCCTCTCTGCCCTACTCCAGAGCAACGCGCAGAGACGCTCAAAGCTCGACACCCAGCGAGGCATCCCGCGTTCGGGGATTCGAACCTCAGTGTGCCCCCCCCCCCTCCCCTGATTATGAATTAATCTCTGGGGCAAAATGCGGGTTCGCCCCCCCCCTCACCGCGAACCGGTGGGGGGGGGCGACTGCTGACGTCGGCGTAGCGTGCTGGGGGCCCCCCCCAGGGCCTCGCTCGCCTTCGGCCCAGCCCCCCACCACCACCACCACAGGCTCGCTGTGCTCCCCCTGCTCAACCTGCTCAAGGTGATCCACGGGAGCAGCCTCGTTAATTATTCACCATGGCAACAAATTGGGGAGGGATTTACCCCCGGACGTTAAATCTGTCAACGTGCGACCCCCCTCCTCGCGCCCCCCCCGTGCCCCCCCCTTCCAGCCCCCCTCCTCCCTCGCGAAAAGCCGCGTTGGATGCTGGGAGAGGGACCCACACGCATGTACATAGGGCGCTGCGGTGGCGAGGTGTTACTGCCTCGCTCGGTATACAGGAGGTCATGGGTTCGATCCCGACCCCTGACGCCTGCTGCGTGTCTCTCTCTCTCTCTCGCTCCCCGTTGTCGTGTGGATTTGACTCACATAGAGTCCCATAGACTCACAGAGACCTATAGACTCGCATAGAGACCCATAGACTCACATAGAGATGCATAGACTCACATAGAGTCCCACAGACTCCCATAGAGACCTATAGACTCGCATAGAGACATTTAGACTCGCGCAGACCCACAGACTCGCATAGAGGCCTATAGACTCACATAGAGATCCATAGACTCGCATAGAAACCTATAGACTCGCATAGAGACATTTAGACTCGCGCAGACCCACAGACTCGCATAGGGGCCTATAGACTCACATAGAGACCCATAGACTCGCATATAAACCTATAGACTCACATAGAGACCCATAGACTCGCATAGGAACCCAGAGGCTCACATAGCATGCCACAGACTCACATCGAAGCCCATAGACTCGCATAAACATATAGACTCACATAGCATGCCACAGACTCACATAGAGACCCATAGACTTACGTTCTCAACTATTCACCCACCCATCTTCTCACTCACCCTCTCAGTCACTCACCTTCACACCCACCCACAAATCTATCGACTCACCCACCCACCCACCAACCCACTCACCGACAGTTTCAACCAACCACTCGCCCACCCATCTTCTCAATCACCCACACACCAACCTACTCACCCATCCGCCCACCCACCAAATCCGCTCACCCACCCATATTCTCACTCACTCACCCGCCCGCCCTCTCTCCCCACTCGCTCTCTCCCGCTCTCTCTCTCTCTCCCGCGCCCGCCCGCCCGCCCGCATGCGAAAGGTTAACTGGCGGCGAGTGATTAGGCGCTGCTAATTGAATGCCACGGAATGGCAGTCGTCCCGCGGCCGGGCAGGATCGGTAATTAAGGCAGACGGCGCAGCAACGCGGCCACGCGGCCCCCCCCCACACCCCCCCCCCCACACCCCCCACCAACACCCCCCCCCACCACCACCACCACCTCCTCATCAGCAGCTCCGGCTCCTCGTCTCTAAATCAATTACCGGGCCGCGCGCCGCGGCTCGATTAGGACTCCATTGATTGGTGCGGCCCTCAGCGCTCAACCTCACGGCGTGGCGAGCGGGACCCCACGTCGCTTTATCTCCATCGCTCCCCCCCCGCTCCCTCCCCGCTCCCCCCTCGCTCCCCCCCCGCTCCCTCTTTGCTCCCTCGCTCCCTTCCCGCTCCCTCACCGCTCCCTCACCGCTCCCTCCCCGCTCCCCCCTCGCTCCCCCCTCGCTCCCTCTCTGCTCCCCCCTCGCTCCCTCTCCGCTCCCTCTCCGCTCCCTCTCCGCTCCCTCTCCGCTCCCCCCTCGCTCCCTCTCCGCTCCCTCTCCGCTCCCTCTCCGCTCCCCCCTCGCTCCCTCTCCGCTCCCTCTTCGCTCCCTCTCCGCTCCCCCCTCGCTCCCTCTCTGCTCCCTCTCCGCTCCCTCCCCGCTCCCTCCCCGCTCCCTCCCCGCTCCCTCCCCGCTCCCCCCCGCTCCCTCTCCGCTCCCTCCCCGCTCCCTCTCCGCTCCCTCCCCGCTCCCTCCCCGCTCCCTCCCCGCTCCCTCTCCGCTCCCTCCCCGCTCCCTCCCCGCTCCCTCCCCGCTCCCTCTCAGCTCCCTCCCCGCTCCCTCTCCGCTCCCTCGCTCCCTCCCCGCTCTCTCCCCGCTCCCTCCCCGCTCCCTCTCCGCTCCCTCTCAGCTCCCTCCCAGCTCCCTCTCAGCTCCCTCCCAGCTCCCTCGCTCCCTCCCCGCTCCCTCCCCGCTCCCCCCCGCTCCCTCGCTCCCTCCCCGCTCCCTCTCCGCTCCCCCCTCGCTCCCTCTCCGTTCCCTCTCCGCTCCCTCTTTGCTCCCTCCCCGCTCCCTCGCTCCCTCCCCGCTCCCTCTCCGCTCCCTCTCCACACACCCCCTCGCTTCCTCGCTCGGCCCTGCTTCTCTTGCTCCATCTCGTATTCATTTCTGCTTGGTACCTGCTTCTTCCCTGCTTCTCGCTGCTTCATCACTGCTTACTTACTGCTTCTTCGCTGCTTCATCCCTGCTTCGCTTGCTCGATCTCTTATTCACTTTTGCTTTATTCCTGCTTCTTCCCTGCTGCCAATTCCTGCTTCTTCCCCGCTACATCCCTGCTCAGCCCGTGCCCCATCCCCGCTGCTTCATACGCTACGCCGCTGCCACATCGTCGAGTGTCTGCTGGCGCTGCCCGCTACTTGTCCGGCGGATGCGCTTCAGGGTTTGTGTACACATGTAGTAGCTACTACACATGCAGCTACTTTTGCTACTAGGATAATCCGGCGCCGGTCAGCAGCGTCGGTGGCCGTGAGCGGGAATGGAACTCGGCTCGCTTGTGCTGAGTGTCTGTGCCGAGTGTCTGTGTCGAGTGTCTGTGCCGAGTGTCTGTGCCGAGTGTCTGTGCCGAGTGTCTGTGCCGAGTTCTCCGCGCCGCTCTGCGAGACTCACCCTCCCCGAACTCGTTGAGGATCACGGCGACCCGCTTGCTGTGCTGCTCCGTGAGGATGTAGTTCAGCAGCGTCGTCTTGCCGGCTCCTGCGAGGACACAGCCGCGGGTCGTCATTGTCGTCGCCACCGCCGCAGCCCGTGATCTAGCCACTGCTGGGTGAAGGCCTCTTGTGTGTGTGTTTGTGTGTTTGTGTGTGTGTTTGTGTGTGTGTGTTAGTGTGTGTGTGTGTTTTTGTGTGTGTTAGTGTGTGTGTGTGTGCGTGTGCGTGAATGGAGAGCGGTGGCACAGCGGTCAGTGTGCCAAGCCACGGCCCTGGCGACCCGGGTTCGATTCCTGCTCACGGCCAAAACAGCGTCGAATATTTGAACCCGACCTGAGCCTCCCCTAGGTCGACTCAGCCTCAAATGAGTACCTGGTGCGGTGTGTAAACATCGCCACTGGGGAGACAAAGACGGCCGGGCGTGGTGCTGGCCAACCAACCCCTCGTGTGCCATGCCGGCCTTCATGGGTGCTCGCTAACAGCACTTGCCCCTACAGTCTGTTAAGGCTACATGGGGGATCTTTGTCTTTGAACGGGCAGCGGTGGCACAGCGGTTACCGCATTCGATTCCCGCTCACGGCCAAAACAGCGGCGAATATTTGAACCCATCCTGGGCCTCCCCTAGGTCGACTCAGCCTCAAACGAGTACCCGGTGCGGTGCATCATAAACATCGGGGAGACAAAGGCGGCCGGGCGTGCATGGTTCTGGCCACAACCCACCCGCCCGCGCGCCTTGTCCCGGCCTACCTACACAGGCTCTACTCGCTAGGCAGCACGGTGGGGGGGCGAGAGGAGATCTTTGTCGTTGTGAAAGCACGAACCCAGGTAGCCCGAGATGATGGTGATGGGAATGCGCTCGTGGGGAAGGAGAGTGGCCACCAACTCCGGGCACTCATCGTCGTCGTCGTCGTCATCACCGTCACCACCGTCACCGCCACCGTCACCGTCACCACCAGCAGGTACCCGTCTCCTCCATCTCTCCTCCTCCATCCCGGTCATCTCTGCAAGGGGAAGACGCGGAGATTGATCGATTAGTTAATCACGCGCGGGTCGTTCAAACGACTTATTCGTTTGAAACGCATTTCACGGAGGACCATCTCCGGAGGTGGCACGCATCGTTTGCCAGCGATTGCCAGGCTCACCGGCAACTCGAACGTCGCCACGGCAATACCGGCACGCGCGAGGCAAACCAGCGCACCTCACCAAGGCTTTATCGGTGTCCTTCCCCCGCACCTCCGATCGGCACCGTTGGTTACGTACGGCGCGAAAGAAGTTCAACCGTGCACACAAGCATATCTGTCATTATTGTAGCAAAAATAATAATAATAATAACGGAAGGTTATCATCGTCCACATCGCATCACCATTGCTGGATGATGACGGCCTCCCCACGCCGTCACCGTCGCCTCACGTGACCTATGACCCACGTGGGTCGGAAAACGTCGGACGAACGTTGGCCCGAAGTCGGGACGTGGGTCGGAAAACGTCGGACGAACGTTGGCCCGACGTCGGGACGTGGGTCGGAAAACGTCGGACGAACGTTGGCCCGACGTTGGGACGTGGGTCGGAAAACGTCGGACGAACGTTGGCCCGACGTTGGGACGTGGGTCGGAAAACGTCGGACTCCGGCGTTGAACTGAATTCAGTTCCAACTCAAAGATCAACTTGAATACTATCAGTTTAACACGTTTGGCGAATTGCCCGATGATGCTGGATGCAATTACCAGCGAAACGTCGTACTCAAATTGTAAATGTTGTGGTTTCACGCTTCAACACACCGGTGGGCTAAAGCAGTGAACTATTTGTCTTTTGTCAACGTGACACTTTTTTACTGATTGGCCGTGTCGGGTGGTGGAGGGTTACGACACATTTATAAATAACGCGGTCTAAACCCAAAAATGTTGATTTTGAATACTGTCGGTTCACTTCCTGAAGAAGGCCCCCGCGCGGTGGGGCGAAACGTCCGATATTAGGCCCAACCGTGGTAAGGGATGAGGTCTCACTGTGCAATTGACTTATACATGCGACTCTAGCGCCCTCTAGGGGTGATTACAACACACAGCGAGACAAATATATACAACAGCGACGTTTCGGGCTATGGACCTTCATGTGCTAAGAAGACACGTAGACAGACACGTGGACAGACACGCATTGTGGCAGGCAGACACATGCACTGACAGACGTCTTCAGAGACGCACACACGCACAGACATACTGCAGACAGACAGAAATACGGACAAGCATACACGGGTAGAGACAAACACCAATACACCCGCCATTCCCCACTTAGTGACGTCACCACGGCGCCTGTGCCAGGCCAGGTGCACCTTGAGGCCACCACGTGAAGTGTCGAAGGCTCGGGACAGACCCTGCAGGTGCCATGGGCTGGCTGACTGAGATGGCCAGTAGATGCACCACCAGCTGTACCCCTACTGTGCCAGGCTAGGTGCAGGAGATCTTGGGACAGACCCAGCAAGTGCCATGGGTTGGCTGACTGAGATGACCGGTAGATGCACCACCAGCTGTACCCCCCTACTGTGCCAGGCTAGGTGCAGGAGATATTGGGACAGACCCAGCAGGTGCCATGGGTTGGCTGAGATGACCGGTAGATGCATCACCAGCTGTACTGTCTACCGTGCCAGGCTAGGTGCAGGAGATCTTGGGACAGACCCAGCAGGTGCCATGGGTTGGCTGACTGAGATGACCGGTAGATGCACCACCAGCTGTACCCCTACCGTGCCAGGCTAGGTGCATTTTATCAGGTTTAACACGTAGGCTTTCGCGGCCAATATTATTCATAATAAACGTTTTTGGGTTAGATCGCGTTATTTATAAATGTGTCGTAACCCTCCACCACCGACACGGCAAATCAGCAATAAAAGTGTCACGTTGACAAAAGACAAATAGTTCACTACTTTAGCCCACCGGTGTGTTGAAGAGAAACCACAACACACCGGTGGGCTAAAGTAGTGAACTATTTGTCTTTTGTCAACGTGACACTTTTTTGCTGATTGGCCGTGTCGGGTGGTGGAGGGTTACGACACATTTATAAATAACGCGATCTAACCAAAAAACTTTATTATGCATTTTATCCACCCAGCGCTCCGATCGTTGTTGTGACGTCGCTTATCAGCCTCCACAGAGGCCGATCTTGACACCGCTGGTACCGGTCATCGGCAAGTCCACTCAGCTCCACATCCTCCCCTACCGCATCAGCTCCATCTCCTCTCCAGCCCGTGTCGGGCCCGTTAAGCCCCCTCCATGCGGCCCAACAGAAACTGCTTGGTCACGTGGTGGCCGGGCACGCGGGCTACATGACCCAGCCAACGCAGTCTTGCCAGATCCTTCAATGATTGACAGACACTGACAGATGAGCAGATAGACAAACACACGCTGACGGACACACTCAGTCATGTACACCCAACTAGATAGACATAATGGTGCACTCACACACACATAGATAAGATACACACACACAGACAGGACACACATAGACACGCACAGACAGACAACACACCCACACACAAACAAGTCACACACAGACACACACACAGACATGTCACACACACACACAGACAAGTCACACATAGACAAACACACAGACATGTCACACACACACACAGACAAGTCACACACACAGACAAACAAGTCACACACACAGAGACACACACAGACAGGACACACACACACAGAGACAGACACACACACACAGACACACACAGACATGTCACACACACACACATAGACAAGTCACACACACACACACAGACACACACACAGACTAGTCACACACACACAGAAAAGTCACACGCACAGACAAACAAGTCACACACACAGAGACACACACAGACAGGACACACACACACAGAGACAGACACACACACAGACACACACAGACATGTCACACACACACACATAGACAAGTCACACACACACAGACACACACACAGACATATCACACACACACACAGACAAGTCACACGCACAGACCAACAAGTCACACACACAGAGACACACACAGACAGGACACACACACACAGAGACAGACACACACAGACAAGTCACACACACAGACAAACAAGTCACACACACACAGAGACACACACACACACACAGACACACACAGACAAGTCACACACACACACAGACAAGTCACACGCCCAGACAAACAATTCACACACACAGAGACATACACAGACAGGACACACACACACAGAGACAGACACACACACAGACAAGTCACACACACAGACAAACAAGTCACACACACACAGAGACACACACACACACACAGACAAGTCACACACACAGAGACAAGTCACACACACAGACACACACACACGGACAAGTCACACACACACAGAGACACACACACAGAGACACACACACACAGACACACACAAGTCACACACACAGAGACACACACACACAGACACACACACAGACAAGTCACACACACACAGACACACACAAACAAGTCACACACACACAGAGACACACACACACACAGACACACACACAGACAAGTCACACACACACAGAGACACACACACACACAGACACACACACAGACAAGTCACACACACACAGACATAGACGTCAGCTGTAGTTACGTAACCTGACTGCCGCGGCCACCTAGTAAGCCCCAACACGAGGGGCTGGTGTGACTAGCTCCACCCCCGGCCGCCTTTGTCTCCCCAGGTACCTATTCAGCTTTAAGGTCGAGTCGACCTAGGAGATACCCAGTATACACACAAAGACAAAGATCCCCCGTATAGCCTGTAACAGACTGTAGGGGCAAGTGCTGTTAGCGAGCAGCACATATGAAGGTCGGCACGGCACACGAGGGGGTCGGTGGGTGGGTGGCCAGCACCACGCCCGGCCGCCTTTGTCTCCCTAGTTGGCGATGCTTACTGCACACCGCACCAGAGACTCATTTGAGGCCGAGTCGACCTAGGGGAGGCCCAGGACCGGTTCAGATAATCGCAACCGGTGTTGGCCGTGAGCGGGAATCGAACTCGGGTCGCCGGGTTCGTAGTAGCAGCGTAGCGCTAACCGCTATACCACCGCTCCCCATATATACACACACACAAAGACAGATAGACACACACATAGACACACATAGACAGATAGACACACACAGACACACACACAGACACACACAGACAGACACACACACTCACACATAGACACACACACTCACAGACACACACAGACATACACACATACACACACACATACATACACACACACATAGACACACATAGACACACACATAGACACACATAGACAGATAGACACACACAGACACACACACAGACACACACAGACAGACACACACACTCACAGACACACATAGACACACACACTCACAGACACACACAGACATACACACATAGACACACACACATACATACACACAGACACACACAGACAAAGACACACAGACACACACACATACACACACACAGACACACACAGACAGACACACACACTCACAGACACACACAGACATACACACATAGACACACACACTCACAGACACACAGACATACACACATAGACACACACACACATACACACAGACAAAGACACACAGACACACACACAGAGACACACACACAGAGACACACACAGACATACACACACAGACACAAAGACAATATCCCCCATGTAGCCTTAACAGACTGTAGGAGCAAGTGCTGTTAGCGAGCAGCACCTATGAAGGCCGGCACGGCACACGAGAGGGTGGGTGGCCAGCACCACGCCCGACCGCCTTTGTCTCCCCAGTGGCGATGTTTACACATCGCACCAGGTACTCATTTGAGGCCGAGTCGACCTATACACACAGACACGTGTGTGTGTATCAGCTGTTACTGTACTGTAACCCAAGCTGGGTCTTGCACGTTAAAGATTCAACTCACGTTGAGGAGACACAACAACAACAACAGCAGCAGCAGCCAGCAACACCGCTGTCACCCTCACAAGCCACGTACTGCTCAGGTTTACACTCCCCCTGTGTGATGATGGGTCTGTCTGCCTGTGTCTGTGTGTGTGTGGATACGCACTGTACCAGGCAGCAGCGACCCCGCGTCCATGCGGAGAGTGACGCGCAGCGACACCACGTGGTAGAGTTGGGTACAGCGTGGGGGTGTGGGTGGGGTGCAGCGTGGGGGGTGGGTGGGGGTACAGCGTGGGGGGGTGGGTGGGGTGGGGTGCAGCGTGGGGGGTGGGTGGGGGTACAGCGTGGGGGGGTGGGTGGGGTGGGGTGCAGCGTGGGGGGGTGGGTGGGGGTACAGCGTGGGGGGGTGGGTGGGGTGGGGTGCAGCATGGGGGGGTGGGGGGTGTACAGCGTGGGGGGGTGGGTGGGGTGGGGTACAGCGTGGGGGGGTGGGTGGGGTGGGGTGCAGCGTGGGGGGGTGGGTGGGGGTACAGCGTGGGGGGGTGGGTGGGGTGGGGTGCAGCATGGGGGGGTGGGGGGTGTACAGCGTGGGGGGGTGGGTGGGGTGGGGTACAGCGTGGGGGGGGTGGGGTGCAGCGTGGGGGGGTGGGTGGGGTGGGGTGGGGTACAGCGTGGGTGGGGTGGGTGGGTGGGGTGGGGTACAGCGTGGGTGGGGTGGGTGGGTGGGGTGGGGTACAGCGTGGGGGGGGGTGGGGTACAGCGTGGGGGCTGGGTGGGGTGGGTGGGTGGGGTGGGTACAGCGTGGGTGGGGTGGGGTACAGCGTGGGGTGGGGTGGGTGGGTGGGGTGGGGTACAGCGTGGGTGGGGTGGGTGGGTGGGGTGGGGTACAACGTGGGTATCATGGGGTGGGGTGGTGTGGCAGGAGATAATTTAACTGAAGGCCGGATGAACAGAGGGTGAACAAACGGGAGCGTGAATGAACAGGAGGGTGAACAAACGGGAGGGTGGATGAACGGGAGGGTGGATGAACGGGAGGGTGGAATGAACGGGTGGCTGGGTGAACGGGAGGGGTGGATGAACGGGAGGGTGAACAATGGGGGAGGGTGGATGAACGGGAGGGTGGATGAACGGGTGGGCTGGGTGAGCAGGAGGGTGGATGAACGGGAGGGTGAACAATGGGGGAGGGTGGATGAACGGGAGGGTGGATGAACGGGAGGGTGAACAATGGGGAGGGTGTATGAACGGGAGATCATATCAACATGGAGTGCGCTGGGATCATCGGCTAAACGCAATCGACGACTCTGGCCCCCGTTCCGACGTTCATGTCTCAGCAGCAGTCAACCGTGACCCGCCTGCTGCTTCCCCACTCCAAATCCCCTCCCCTCTCTTCAAGTCCCCCTCCCCCCTGCCCTTCCCCCCTCCCCTGCCCTTCCCCCCTGCCCACCCCCTACCGCACCCCCCCTCCGCATAGACCCTAATTGAAGCGGACATCTCAATCTAAAGCTGTCGTGTTCGACATTATCCCTGTCTCCCCCTTCTCCTTCATACCCCCCACCCAATGTAATGCGTGAGACGTGTGGGGGGGCAGGGGGCAGGGGAGGGGGCTATGGGGCTTGGGCATTGAACAAAGTGGATAATGATCTCTGATAGCCCGCTGACGACCAAGTAATGGCAATGACTCCGTCTCGTGTTGGTTGTGCAGCGGTGGTGCTCGAGGGAGGGGCGGTGAGGGTTGTGGTGAGGATGGCGTTCAAGCGTCGCCATTCCACCTACCAACTCACTCGTAACCCTACGTCCCTCTCCACCCACCGACTCAACCTACTCAACCACCTACTCAACCATCTCCCCACACAGCTACCTCGCTACCACCACCCACCCCCCCTACCATCTCCACCCGCCTCTTACATGCCTCTCCACATCCTACCTACTCACCTACCTACCTACACACACACCTACTCACTCACCTACCCACCACGCAGACCTACTGATGTAAATCCTATCCCTAACCCACCACAACTGTCTACCCACGCACGAACCAATACCCCAACCAACGAACCCACCTACCTCTCCACTCACCCCCCAACCAACCACCCACCCCCGACCCTCCTCCTCACTCACGCCCCTTAACAAACCACCCACCTAGATCCCCACTCACCCCCTAACCACCACCCCCCCCTACCTCCCAAATCACCCTCCAACCAACCACCCACCCACCTACCTCCGCACTCACCCCCCCAACCAACCACCCCCCACCTCCCCACTCCCCCCCAACCACCCCACCACCCCACCCACCTAAATCCCTACTCACCCCCCAACCAACCACCCACCCACCTACCTCCCCACTCTCCCCCAACCACCCACCCACCCTCCTCCCCACTCACCCCCCCCCCCAACCACCCACCTACCCCCCCCAACCAACCACTCATCTACCCCCCCCTCATCCCCCAACCACCCACCCACCCTCCTCCCCACTCACCCCCCCCCAACCACCCACCTACCTCCCCACTCATCCCCCACCCACCCAACCACCCACCCTCCTCCCCACTCACCCCCCCCCCCAACCAACCACCCACCCCCTACCTCCCCACTCATCCCCCACCCACC